TGGTAATATATTATTGGTTTATGTAGATAAACAGTTAACTTTAGGTTTAAATATTGTTAAATTTAATAATTGTAACCCGAATAATATTAATAATTGTAATATCTCGATATGTCGAGATATTACAATTATTCGTTTTTTTATTAAATTTAATAATAATTTTGTTTAAATTTAATTTCGAAGATATGTGAAATCCGCCAATCCGAAGTGGGGCCGCATGGTGGACTATGCCCTGATACCCTCTGTATAGAGGAGGCCTTTACCCAGCAGTGGGACATGTATAGGCTTTTACATTACTTTACTTTACTTTAAATTTAATAAAATTGAATAATTGTAACCGAGATATGTCTTATAAACAATTGCAGTTCGACATCTGATGCGGGTTGTAAAAAGCGTGCATACTTCTCATGATCGCGACTTCTATGAACATGTTCAGGGCATTGTTGTTCGCATTCTTCATGTATAACGCCATCCTAGTTAGGTGTGGAAACGGTGTTCAATAAAAAACGACTGCTTTTATGCACGTCAAATGGAAATGTCGCTAATTTTGTGTTTGTATTGATTTCACTGGAGCTCTGGAAGTGTTTACGTTTATAAATTAGTTGTGAGGTTAATAGCTTGCAACAGTATTATAGCTAACAGATAGGTAAATATTAGGAAATCAGAAAGTGGCAGAATGAGCAAGGTTACCATAACACTTTTTTGACAAAAAAAAATTATAAATCTGTAATGAAACTTAATTATGCAAATCTTATCAATATTTTGGTGATATAGGAAATTGCGAAACGAACCTTAATTGCAAGAGGCTCGTATAGACATATATTGGATGGAAGATTATTATTAATACTGTCACTCTTATAAGGTAAATGCAATGTATAAAAAAATCCTATTTTTAATTGACGTTAACATACACAAAACAATAACCATACGCACGTGTAATGATTCGATACATTTGCTCTTGAAGACAAATTTGTAGAGAAAGACTCTACCGTTTTCAATTACTCTTGCCGAGGCAACCGTAGATTATCGACATCGGACATCGATGGTGCGGGTCGGTGCGGTCGCGATATTTACGTGCTATCGATACTATCCCATCCCTATCGGACCCACTATCTCACACGACTTCATCCACGCCGCGCTAGGAATTCCAAAAGCAAAGAAAAGGTTCCTCCCTTAAGTGGTACATAAATCTTGGATTAATGCGCGTATTGTTTTAAAAGATATGTTTTCATGAGGTTTTTGCTGAACAGTAATTTAATTTAAAAAGATTAATTGAAAAAGATTTCTTCAATATTCATGACAACTTCATGAATATTAAAACATGTTTTGCTTAATCTGTAATATTCCTATCTTAATTATATTTAATTAATTAAAAAATACTCGAATAACCTGTGTTCGATCCCCGGTGACGGCACTAATGAAATTGTTAATTTTAAGTGCTGACTTATCACGTGCCTTGAGGCGAAGGCAAACATCGAGGGCAATCCGCAGTGAGGTCGCGTGGTGGAATATGTCCTAATACCCTCTATACAGAAGATGTATTTGCCTAGCAGTGGGAAATGTAAGCTGTTACTTTACTTTTATATAGGAGATTTAAAGTATTTCTGGACGAATTGCAGAAATAAGGTAGATATTAAATTTTTCGATACATTATTTGATGGAATCCATTCTATATTATTACTATTTTAATTTAATCAGTAAATTTTATGCCATAACAGTTAACTAATTTTTTATTTTACATCTGTGTGTATCGATGCCCGAACATAATAAATTGGCAATAAATCGCACACACATGCCAGTTATACATGACTTCCTTTCTAAGCAGAAATAAATAATTATTCAAACTATATTTTCGTTCCCGTTATTTCAAATTAATGTCGTATAATATTTAAATTAATGATTCAGTGTTGCCTTGGAATAACACTTTTGAACTAATGCGTTAAAACTTCCACCAATATTTTCAATGATTGCGAAAAGTTTTTCTTTCTGTGTTTCGATGAGTTTTATCTTTTTAATTACGTATAAGGTATATGTAAAACACAATACATATAAGTTCTGACGATAACGTTAATAACATTAACTATATTTTTTTTTATGTAAAAAATTGGCAAGCGAGCTCCGAAATTATAACTGCCGCTCTTGGACATTTGCAACATCCAAGGTAGGATATAATAAATGCGTTGCCATCATTCAATAAAGTCGGGGCCTACTTTATAGTGAGGTGGCAGGTTTTCGTCTGGTAACCCAAGCAGAAGTATGCCCTTCCCCGGATACCTTACTATTCGTGCAACAGGGAGCTGCTGAAGACTGCTGCGTGACACTTCCACAGTGAATAATCTCGGTTATATCATAAGGGGAAGACGACGATTATAAAATAGGAGTCTCTAACTCTTCAAAGTAAATCAATCCTTGCAATAGGAATTTAAGCCTGAGGGACTTTCGGAAATTTTTCGACAAAAAATGCATTTAAATTATCCAGTGAACTTTAAAGAATACTATAAATAATCTAATAAACAATGTATGATTTTCATTATATTTTAGCTTTTATTTGTGATATGTTGTACAGAGGTTTTGAGTTGTTGAGTTACCCTTTTTTCGTGTTGTACCTCTACGTTTCGACTGGTGATTGAGGAGTGAGGAGAGTCGGGGTTCACTTTACTAAAAGGTTGTCACCTTTTGGTAGACGCAAAAAGGTGGCAACGCATCTACAACCCTACTGGTGTTGCCAATGTTGTGCTTTAAAATGTGTTGCTTAACATCAGGCTGACCGTCAGCTCGTTTGCCACCTTCTAACATTAAAAAATCTCACCACTACTTTGTATGGACCATGTAGCTTCGTTGGAATGTGCTATTTTGTTGTCGTGCTAAGATTCAACATTGAAATGTAAATTAATGTTGGATCCATAAAAAGTATTCATATTAAAAAAAATAGTATAAATTATTGTTTTATCAAACAGCATCTTGTATTAATTTAATGGCTTTATTAAGGAATGTTGGACGTTATCAATTCGCAAAGATAGCCGACACAAGATTGGGTTGCTATGACTGTAAAAACTTGTAAGAACAACAAACAGCATTTGTTGTGCTAATGTTGTAACTTGATGACGCTTTTGCAGGGCTGTCGAATGCAAATTTTGGGCCCGATGGACACATATATATCAATAATTTTAATGACCAAATGTGCCATTACTCTAGCTTTTAGTAACTTTATATATAAGAAAGTAAATTAAACATAGACGACTCAAAAATTTAATTATGTTACTTAATCTCTCCGAAACCTAGATCCGATTTAATTTAAGATTTGATTTAAATTAGCACAATTTTCACCAAAACCTTAATTTTTAATCAACATCATGATTTTTAAAGGGAACCACACTTTTAGAATACAATGTATAACAAATTTCACAATAAACATTCAATTGAATGATAGTCAAAATATTGACTCAAATTATAATACTTTCTTCCGTTTTACGTCAATCATATGAATGAAGCACCCTTTTTACTTATTTGTTATTATCTAATTATATTATATCCCGCGTTAACTGCCAAATTGAAAAAAATTGTTCACTGTGTGCAATTAAAATTTAACTTGATTACTTCTCAAATGGTTGATTAAAAAAACGGATTTGTAAATCAGTGTTTAAATTTAAAGGCTAATTTAGAAAATTAATGAACGTTTAACTCTTTGTAATAATAAGCTATTATGGTGACTACTATTACAGTAACTAGTATGGTGAAAATAGTCAGTTTGATAGCAATTGTGAATTAGACTTTATCTACAAGTCCAAAATATCACAACTCGATTTGGGTCAAAGAAGGATAAGATAATACAATATAAATGAAGAAGAATCTCTATAAACATAATTAATAATAAACTGAAGTTTATGCAATGAAGACTTTATACGCCACCGTTCGTGATTAGTAGACAAGTGGAATTAGCGTATAGAGAATTCGATCGCAAATAAAGTTTAAATATATTTCTATGCCACTGAATAGTTACAAATCCAGTTGTCAAAAATCCAAAGTGTGGTAAAAATATTTCAAATAATAATCACACCGTAAAATACTCTTCAAAATCTCTTCTACACTATACTATAACTCAGTTCACTATACTTTGATAATGCTACTACACTACTAAATGCTATAAAAAGGTAGTACCTATATAAATCCCTTCCCAATCACAGAATGCTAAAAAGCATGCGGCAAATAAAAATCAAAGTAAAGGCGATAAAGTCTGCCTAAGTAGTTAGTTACGACATATGTAATGACATGGTATCGACTGTTAAGGTATTGTTAGCTAAACCGAAGAATAACTTCACCGCTCAATCATTGCGGTGTCTAGACTTTTACGACTATTGTACTTTATTACTCAATCGGGAATTAATTAAAATCTCCCGTCTTCGTAGGTCGCGGCAGCCCTGGCGCGAATGGAAGCGCCTAAGGCAATAAATGATAATTATTACACGTCCTTTGGAAAAAACGCAACTCCCGCGGCAGGTGCCCGAGCCGAACGCAAGGGCTGGAATTATCGTGAGCACTGTCGTAATATCGTACGACTTTATGATCGTTTTAATTTAGGTTTATTAGTAACGAAAATACTATCCTATTAGCTTTTTAACGTGCCAAAAGAGTTTGTTTACTTTCTCTCTCTTTCTCTCTCTTTCTCTCGTGAATTTTTCGTGCGCTGACAAATGTAGAGTAGGCATTAGAAACCTAGAGATAGGAACTTAATATTTCATAATGAAATAGATAATGGGAGAAGAATGTACCGTAGATTGGGTTGAATGCTAAAAAGGATTTCACGATTCGAGAACAAAAGTACAAATTGTTTAATTGAAGGACTCTTATTAGGATACTGTATACACCTGATGCGGCGAATACAATGACGTTTGGAGCAATGCGAAATCGCCCCATATCGAGTCCAGTGGCGACTGCATCTTTGCCAAATAACCCGACGACATCGTAACGATTCCCCAAGCGTAACCACATCAATTCACCTATCACAGAGAGCGTTCCCACGCACTTTCGGGCTTCCAACAATGTGCACTGTGATCCTCTGCCGTTACACTTTCTGGGCACACGCGACACCGTGTCGGGCGCAGGCGGCGCGTGATTCCTGGCCGAATCAAAACAACACCGTGACGTGGGGAACACACCGTGGCGGAAACTCGCGCGAAACTTGAATCCGAGCACGTCCGGAACACGGTCGTCTGCCGCCGCTGCGCGTGCGCAACTGACGAGCTGACCCGACCAACCGCGTTGTCTCTCGTCCTCATGAGACGGAGATAGGCTCCAGTGCTCGTCAGAGAGAGACGGCGCTATCCACCCTTTGCTCGTGTCAGAATAATTCGCTACCAGGTTTCACCCGAGACTCTCTGGTTGTCTTTTTTCAACGGAATCTGCTTTGTCCATGGATTACATTTACGCGTCACGGTGTTGATTAGATCAACACATTAATTAAAACTTTACAAATATTTCTTTTATTTACAATGGAAATTAACTTGATCTCCCGAAGCAGAAACTCAATAAATATAAAGTTATGCTACTTTTTATTTATCGAGTATATATGGGACTGAATAAATAATATGAGATAAAGAATTCTAATCGGTATATTTAAAGCATATCTCGATATAATGAGAGAAGCATTGATTATCTTCATGCTTTGGAACTCGCAGTCAAGTGTGTCAACGCTATTGCACTATCAAACTGGGGCGTCGCAAATGGTCGCGGTTTTCATTTGGATTTAATTAGACGCGAGAAAGTGGATGAAACAAATCAATATGTCAAACGATAAGTTGCCGGGATCGAAGTTTCTAATTAGTATTACTGGTTAAACACAAATACCGACAGTCGTTCTAGAGATATTTCAATGACAACATTAATCAATCATATTTATCACTAGTTTCCTCGAATTGGCTTCACGCTGCATGAAGGTTTAATTTTTCTAAACGTAAACTTTTGACTATGACGATTTACAGAGTATAAATATTTTAATACTTAATAAGAGTATTTGAAACATAATAAGATACAATGGAACTACCGTTACATAGCGGCCGTCAAATGTGCCCGCTTTTGGGCTCACTCCGCATTCTCGGTAGGAAGCGACACTCAAAGCCAGAATATGCAGGATCATAGACTTGCGCATGTTTTTTTGCATAAGCCTAGAATTAAACTTACCAGCAAGCAATTTGATCCTAAAACGGCGTTATAATAGATGAAGCTTTATAGTACATAGGACTGAAACTACCTATATCTATACTAAAACCTATATCTAAACTGCCTATATCTACGTAATTATCTGAAAAAGATAATGACAGTTTTAGGCATGTTTTTCCATAATCAATCTATTGAATATAGCCCATATTAATCAGGATTTATATTGTTTAGTCCAAAACTTATCAGAAATAATTTAATTATTTATTGTTATAAATATATTTTATGTAATCACAAAGTTAAGAAAACTCTTCCCTCTTTCGCAATTACAAAGTAAACTTACAAGACTTGTTACACTCCTTTTTAATAATACATGGTAGGTAAGCAACATGTAAACACAAAGTTGTTTAATGTTTAGGAACGTAATTCAATCGATGACGAGTCATTACGTATGAGGTTATATATGAAAACAACATATTTGCAATATATTTTGTAAAACACTCACTAAAAATGAGGTATAAATAGTTAATGTCAACGGAAACCCCGCTTTAGTTGTCTTCGCAGCGCTGTTCTTTTATCACATATTTTTAAACTAATTGTACAATAGCGTACAGTAACGCGATAGCTCATTGTCTGGGCGCTCGCCTTTAATTCAAAATACTGCAGCAACCTGAGTTCGATCCCCGGTGCTGGCTGCAATTGAATTTTTGATTTTAAGTGCTGATTTATTACGTGCTCACCGATGGAGGAAAACATCGTGAGGAAACCTGCATATTGTCGAATTAATATAAAAAATTATTTCGAACATATGTGAAGTCTGCTAATCCGCAGTGGGGTAGTGTGGTGGACAATGCCCTGATACCCCTTATCCTCGGCAGTGGAACATATATAGACTGTAACTTCATTTTTTACATCAATAATCCACAATCGTTGTATTTATTTCATATTAAAAACTATTAAAATGACGATAAGTTGAATTGAAATAATAAATCGTTACCGATTAACACCAATAAGATAACTATTGCACAACATCAGTGATCCGACAAGGAAAAGTTGTACTGAACTTATCAAAATGCATTCGATAGAATGAAAAATAAGCCTCGGAGCAAGAGGTATGATTGTAGAGGCGTCCGCGTCCGAGCGGTATCATTTGCTACCTCGCAATCAACGTAATGACGGTGAGCTGCAAGCGTATGGCCCTACTATGGGTTCTCGATCGATTATACGTCTCGAAACCGCCACGACCAACTTCTTTATGTGAGTACATTGGGTATTATTTTATATTAAGCTGCCACGCTTTCGAAATTAAATTACATTCGAATCCGTTTAGCCATTGCTCAAAATGAGACGAAAGAAGCCTGAACAGAAAAGAAAATTAAGAAAATAATTATTAAGAAAATTTTACTATGCGAATTTTAATAAGCTCGACAATTCAATTGGGTCGTCATATCTCAATATAATCCACCTATGATGAATTTATTTAACGATACAGTTCCTTTCTTCTTACACAGATACGTACCCACAAGAATTTAATTTAAAAATATAACTTAAGTTGCGTAATTTTGAATAGGTAGTAGGTATTAAGGTTGCAATGTGCTTGGCACTACTGCTGACTAAAGACATTTTGAGATATTGTGAGTGATTTGGACATTGTGTTATTCATCAAGCGATCTTCCCGAAAGCGGGCTATATTAGTAAGTTTTATTTTATTCATTAACTATAAACAAACAAGCTGTTATCGTCTCTCTTCGGGATTTGTACAATACTAAGCTGCACATGGAGTGAGTCAGTCGCTCGCAATATTAATGATCAAGTATTAAAGTCAGACGGTTTTTAAGTGATTAAAAATCCGAAAAAGCCTAATAATTAAGGGCATATTGTTCCAAATTTACATTCCACGCACCGTGTCACCGCTGTTAACTACAAATAATACAATCATTATTTCACCTCAATGAATTTTAAATACAAAATGACGACACTGGAACAGTTGCTAAACTATTGGCTTCAGCGCCGGTGGTCGTGGGTTCTATTCCTACAGGGTACAAGTATTTGTGTGAACCACAGATAATTGATCCCGATCTATTCCATTCATAAAAAACTAACCAACAGTAGTACGGGCACAGTATGCTAATCATGTCGGAAGTGATAACAACATGACTCGCATGTTGTGACGACCCCACATGGCTGGGATAAAGGCAGGAGGAAAGAAGCATCTAAAATATAATATAGGTACTTTGATGGTTAAGAATACTGAATCCTTAAGGTGCATGCTTCGACTTTATGACTCGTGGTAAATCTCGGATGCCCGCACGCGCTTTAATTCTGAAATTCTCGTCTAAACGAAACTCTGAACACCACTCTGCATTTGAAATAATAAAGTGTAATTTTCAATGAGCATCGCCGATGCTAAATCTAGTTGTAAAACAAAATAAAACTCGGATCGGTCATCAGCGATTGGATCTTTAAGGAGTACGCATTAAAGTCGATATTTGATTATCTTAAATTAAATTCCCTGTCGACAGATACTTACTGGATCGGGCGGCGGAGTGACCGATAGCAATCTCTCATAAAGAAGAAGCTTCTTATTAATTTCACGTCCGCAACGTAGATTATCATTGGCTTGGGTGTTCAACTTAAAACATACGAATGAAATGAATGAATGAATGAACATTCAACATACGAGCTTAAGTTTATGCTAAATAAAGAATGAGATAAGTTAAAATCGCACCCGGAAGGAAAGGGAAAGAAAGAGATTATGCATTATAACAAATAAGTTAATAAGAATTCAATAATTGATTAAATGATGACTCCGTGGCGCAGTTGCCAAGGTATTGGCTTCGGCGTCGGGGGTCGTGGGATCGATTCCCACACGGGACAACTATTTGTGCGAACCATAGATAGTTGTTTCGCAACTGGGTGTTTGTCCTCGTGCAATTTATGTTTGTAAAACGTCCTTACAACACAGAATAATGTTATCCTAAAGTGAGGGCAATGTTTAAAAAAAAAAAACAAATAAGCAATAAAAAATATTTTAATTATCATAAAAAATTGTTTTATTTTACATTTAATAACTTTAAATAGTTTGTAATGTTTACATCTTTACCATAAATGTATAGACACGTTGCGAGGAGAGTCAGTAGAGTCTTAATCTTACTTTGAACTGCTCGTTAGCGATATGTGTCAATGACGAAGCTGTCTCTGTAATGTTTCGAATGCTAAAGGAAATGTTGCCAAAGATAGATAATAATGGCCCAATCCTTCGGGTATTTTTTGTTGTATGACGAATTGATTTACAACAAAAACGAAAACATGAATATACGTATCAGTTGCGTATCATTGACTACGACTATCATAGTTTTTGTAGAAACTTTAGGAGCACACGTCCCGAATACTGGAGAGCGAATAGCTTTGCGTTTCCCTTTTTCATCCCGCGCACAGCTCATAAAGCGCCATTCGAAAAAAAACACTCGCTTGAAGCGCGGCGCAAATGAAGCAAGTCATTGTTTCACAGACAATGGGCAATGATTGACGGAACCCGCCACCACTTGCGGTGTGCCGCATAGCTGTGTAACGGACCGCTGCCGACGTATGGGGGCACGGCGTCCGGACAGCACGCCCGGGACTTTCAAACTCAAATACGAAACTCTTCATTTACGCTTATTTCATGCCCTTACATGTCAAGCGCCTATAGTATACAGTGTACGGCTTTTTATATTACGCGTAACATCCCTTCAACACTATTTAAATAAAACGACATAGATATAAGCTGGTCATGGGTTCATTGTCACACAGACACTCACACTCACTCACAGCTGAAATGACCTATATATATGATAATTGTTTTTTTAACTCTGTATTACACAACCACTGTAGTGAGATTAATAATAATACTATTACGGTTATGACATTTTTTTAAAATGGTCAATAGAATCCTTACTTAATATTATAAAGGCGAAAGTTTGTATGTATAGATGGATGTTTGTTACTCTTTCACGCAAATACTACTGAATGGATTTTAATGAAACTTTACAATAATATAGCTCATACATCAGAATAAAACATAGGCTATAATTTATATACATATTGTTATGTATATATGCCGTTCTGCCTGAATGTTACGCCT